ACTGAAAAAAAAATGTGAAAGGAAGAGTTCAGTGATTTTGTGTACATAGATTTTATTTCTTAACAATTCTGTTTGGCCTCCTGGAAGGTCTGAGTGACTTTAGGTGGAATAACCGGATCTGTTTGCTCCTGAGGATCAGGCGCAAGTTCGCTAAGGAAAGGCAGGGAGACAGATGGCTGGCTATTATGTTACAACCATCATCTGCTAGGCCATGAGCAAATATTAAGTGAATAATATACATGTAATTGGTGTGCAAGTACAGTTGCAACATTTCTAATTCTGTTTGAAGGATGGCGACTCTTTGGACATTTGTATTTCATAGAATATATTGAAATGTTTTTTTACAGGGTTAATCCATTCTAAACTATTTTAAAATGAACATTTTTTCCCCTCATTTTTGACACCACTGTGCAATATTTTGAATTGAAATGGCCTGTAATAGCCTTTTTTTATTTCCCATAACAACACGAGCACTAAATTATAGCTGTACAATTATGTAAATAATAGAAATGCTTCCAGAATGAATCCTTCCTTTTAAATTTTCATTTTGTGTAATTGTTGGAAGGTTTGGAACCATAATAAACAAAATTATTTTACACATTTGTCATTCTAAAGGTCAATTATAAGAGAACTAAAGAAACAACACTATGCAAAATGAATAAACCAATTTCTGTTGCCATCACCATATGTTTTTTTCTTATCACTTATGGTTTTTTCAGTTACTGTGTACATAGCATTCAATTAAAGCGATTCATTTACCAGGCTGAATGTGGTTTGTGTTTATAGAACTGTGCTTTGGAGGAGAGGAAACAACACGCTTCTGTTTGAATTACCTGATTTTTTGTAAGATCAGTGATAAGAGACAGATGTTCTCACCAGTTACTTTCTCATAAACCTGAATCTTTTGATAAACTGCAAATTCACAATTACCATCTTACAATCTAGTTTTCACACTATGTAGCATGCATGTGGCCTTTCAACCAAAAATAAGAAAAATGCTAGTTTTCTGTTCTCTTCACTGTTACAGCATTTTGAAGAATGAATTTTATTTCCCTTAAAGAAAAGCTTGTGAAAGAGTTTTGTCTATGTTTTGAACTGGTCAGTTTTCAACAATTTCTATTTCATTTTATTTTATTTTTTAATCCTCACCCGAGGACATTTTTCCATTTTTTGTTCAGATGGAGTGGGAGGGAGAGAGAGAGAGAGAGAAACATCGACATGAAAGGGACACATCGAGTGGTAGCCACCCACACGACCCAACCAGGGCCGGGGACAAACTGCAACCGAGGTACATGCCCTTAGCGGGAACCGAACCCAGGTCTCTCTGGACCGCAGGCCAACGCTCCAACTGCTGAGCCAGACCAGCCAGGGCAACAATTTCTGTTTTAGAGTACATTTTTCATTGAGCTTATTGCTTTTAGTCTGTTTGGAGTGTGAAAAAGAAACTACTTTTTGCTACCAGATTCATTTATTTAGGGTAAATTCTCGAACTCCTTAGAAGATTGAACCTAGAAAGATCATTTCCCTGTTTTTATTTCACCCAAACACTATGGCTAATTTTTGTAATGCTTTGCTAAGGATGTTATTTGAAAGCATTAATTTCTAGAGTTTTTTTAATTTGGGGGATGATTTAATCTAAGACACTTACTTGTGCAACCTTTGAAATGTTTTAAAATGTTCTTTCTGAATATCAGCAAAACAGTTGTTCCCATAATTCTACAAAGTAAATTCTAGAAAGTGAAATCTTTTATAGTCCTTCTATTTTTCACAAGATTTTTTTACTTGTCACTCTTAACTTCTGTACAGCCTTTTCATTTTACAGAGGCATGTGTTCACGTCCAGCATGCCATTAAGACACAGCTATGTAAAGGGGATTCATTCCATTTTATGGAAGAGAAATGTCATGCTGTAGGCATGACATGATCTGCCCGTGATCACATTTACTAGGCCTTGAACCCAGGCCTAGTGGTCCCAGTTCTAGAGAGACATTTCCCACTGGTGGTCACAATGAAGGTAGCACTATAGCATTAAATTGCACAGTGGGAATAATGGCTCCTTTCTAGTCCTTGTGATTCTCCTGGGTAGTTAGACTGGAGTAGATACAGAACTTCTTTCATACCACCCTGGATGCAAACCACCGTTTTAACAAGGAGAGCCTCATCAGATGATGACAGTTAGCAAAAATGCAGTTGTCTTGGTGTACTGATTGTTTTGATTTAAGGGTTATTTTCTGTTTTATGAGACAGGATACTAGTTTTCTAGAAAAATCTTATTTAAATTAAAAAAAATACGTCACTTTGAAAAGCAGATAAATAATATGCACTTTGGATGTGGACATGACAGTAACATGAGGTTGTACATGAATAATTGACATTTGGGAAGTGGCTTTCTGTGCTGTCTCTATATAAAGCCCTGGAGACTGTGAAGAAAGTTCAGAATCTCAAGATTTTTAAATTTTTCCAAAGACTCTAGTTATAGCTATGAAAGTGAAAAAAGGATTCTACCAGAAATGAGTGGAGCATTTTGTGGATGTCCCTCTATTGGGAATATACAGCTGCTCTCTTTTGAGTACCACACAGTTATTCCTAATTTTAAAATGTTATGATAAAATCTTAGGGTTGTTCCGTTTTAGTGTGGAAAAGAAAAATTAGCAGGCATTTGTCCATAATTTGGCTGCCTGGCCATATATTCACCTCTTTAACCCATACATTAACCTACTACAGTGCTGTCTTTAACTGGTCACAGCAGCACAGACCCCTGCTTCTCCTTCTCCTTGGGGCTCCATATTACGTGGGTGACAGGGTAGGGTAGGCTAGCCATCTGTTATTTTACCTTCTCTTTCCAATCTTCTTGCCCATAGAAACAGGTTCCGTTGATGTGACTGGCCAAGGTCCAGGGATATGGGGAGCCATGTGACTTTACTTTGGTTATATTTCTGCTGCCTTTAGCATCAAAGCCAACTTACTAATTTTTTGTGAATGCCCCATTGACAAGGCATTACGTTTACATGTATGAATCTCATGGAGCAAAATAGATTTAATTTTAGCTTTAACTCATTAATGGATTTAGTTCATAATTACCATAAACTTATCCCAGAAAAAATATTTTTTTTAATTAAAATTCTAAATTCCAGTTGTGAAAATGGCTTATTTGATTTAAACATGGGCTAAAGATTTTTAAATTCTATAGTGTTCAAAGCTTAGTTTCTCATCTCAACAGATGGAATTAACACTATAAATATAACCAAGTTAACATCATGTTTGTTTGCATTATTAATCTTCAAATGCATGGCATTCTGCTACCTTGCTAGCCAGGTTTGCACAAATCCTTTCATTGCAGCATATGTCAACAGAAATGTGCTTCCATCTGCTGCTGGATAGCTTGATGCCTGATATTCTGAGACAAGGCCCAGCACAATGCGTACCTCTGTGAGTAATTACAGGTGTGTGGTGAGGAGCTCAGGGCATTAATCAGAGGCTTAATTATGAAAAAGGTGGATCTTTTGTTCCACTGTTGGAGCATGAGTTTACCACACACTTTCTGAACTGCAGCATCCATCTGCTCAGCCCCTTAGAATGTTTGCCTTGGCTGATATGCACCCTAAAGTGTATCAAAGGATGTGATTAAAGAAGGTTTAAACATTAACTTGAAAGAAGTGTGGGTCAAGTTTTTCTTTCTTTCCTTCCTTCCTTTTACCTGTCTATTTATCTATCTACATATTTATTTTTAGTATAGGAAAAAGTCTGCTGAAATTATAAAACTTTAGTATTTGCTGAACTATGTATCATATATGAGCTCTAATAGAGTAAGCAGTGTATAGTCATTTTAAGAATATAAATAGCACGATTTGTAGGAACTAAATGAGTCCACTGTGTAAGGAAAAAACTAAGTGTTTATTTAAAATAAATGTAAACACAAAAATTCTCTTTTTAGATAAGCGAGGTTATTTTGATTACAAAGGATTTATACAGCATTTTGCTACTACTTTGCTCTAATTTAATCAAAATTAAATTGGTATTATTTTGAAGGGTTTTTGAAATAGCCACACTGAAATCTAAGAAAATAACTCAGATTTTTTTTTGTATTTTGCTGCTTGTATTTTGAGACTAACTATAGGTTGTATAACTATAGGTAACATAACTATAGTACTCTAGTATGTTTGATTAATATGCATTGCCTAGAACTGCATAAAGTATTTTGTTTTACCGATCCCCCTTGCATACACACACTCACACAAGTAATTTCGTAGATGTGGCAAGACCATGGGTGGCCTGAATGCTGTCCAGTGGAGTCCTGGTCTGGTCTGCCACAGGCTGGAATGGGGGACTGCCTCAGAACAGAGCCGGTGGGCAGGGGCCAGCCAGCCACCCACCAGCGAGAGGCTGTTACAGACACAGGAACACCAGGTATCTGGACAGTTGGTGGTCTTCACACTGCATGCTGTGCAGAAGGCTACTGCTGCTCTTTGCACTTGTACCTCAAAATCACACTTATACTCAGAGCCACACCAACTACCTGACCTTTTGAGTATGACCAATCACAACACTACCATAGCACATGAAATTGTTTAATATGGAACTACCCAAAGAGTAAAAATTTCTATCGCTTTGTCTGCTTTAAAATTTTTTAATGTAACAGTATGAAAATTGAAGAATATGGGAAGTGATAGGTGTTCAAAGATTTTTATTTGTATATTTACCTCAACACTCCTTTAGCTTGTCCAAGGAGCTCACCTTCAGGGGAAGACATAAGAAGTGTCTAGTCTCAATGCCACAATTTAGATTTCGGAAAACTCATCTTGCAGTTTAGTGTCTCGATTCTCTTACATGTGAAATGGGTACAGTAGTTCTTGGACGAACCAATCTCCAAGTATCCCTTTTACTGAGAAATTTTTGTGATCTGTGTTCTCTTAGATTACCATAACACTGGTCATCTACAGACTAACTGACTCCTTTGGAATTTTGTTCTTGAAAATTACAGTTGTGTCTTCTTTCTTTTAGGATGTCTTAAATACCATTATAAGGCACTGTCCACCCCGCTTTTTCTCCCTGGGTTTGCCTGGCTTTTCAATGTTGGTGGGGGACTTCATCACGGCTGCTTCCAGGGTCCTCGGTACAGACATGCTGGTGGTGAGTATGACAATGCTCAGCATCCAAACTCCCAGGAGTCTTCACAATTGCTAACAAGGTTCAGATTTCTCCACTCTTAACAGGTGTTGACTCATTAGTGCAATGTGAAACTGGGCTCTCGGGTAGATGCCCTGGCAGCTGATGTGTGAAATTGTAGGATAAGATGACACATTAGTATTAGAAAGGCGTTTCATCAAAAGGCCAGAGTGTGAAAAATCATCCTCACTAATATTTCAGCACATTTACACAGTCAGAAGCAGGACTTGTCTCTCAGAATCTTATTAGCATTTTCTAGTAAATGGTGGCACAGACATAGATGTCTATAATAAAGAATTTTAAATGTCTAGGTTCAATAATGTTTTTTTCATTACTGTGTTAGTTATTAGAAGTCTAGTAGAAAATATTTTTAAATGTTTTAAAAATAACATTTTAACCAGAAAATGAATATATATTTTCTTATTAATGTACAGAATTCTTGTACTAAAAAATTAGAAGCAAGTGGACTGACTAAATGGGTATTAAGAGCTACAAAGATAATGTATTTGCAATCTCCACATTTACCTCCACTATTAGGGCAGTATTCTAATGCCTTTTAAAAGAACAGTCTTATACATTTAAATGTAAAGGGCTTCTCACATTTGTGCTCAGTATAACTGTTACCTGTTCAGATTCATGTTTTTCTTTTTCATATGGTATAATTAAAATTAACTTTACTGGCCTGCCCCTGCCCGCCCTTGGTTGCTTGAGCTCCCTCTGCCACTGTTGTCCTCCACCCAGTGGCAGGAGGACACTGCCTCCTCAGTCACCCATCCTAGAGTCAGAGCTGTTACCTGAGTGCTTTTCATCTGAGAACTTCAAGGTACTTTGTAGAACTTCCACCACACAGGCCATGGGTCTTGCAGCACATTTTTAAGCAATGGCTGCCATTCGGAAGAAATGTGTGACTGTTGGTGATGGAGCCTATGGCTAGATTTTCTTGCTCATTGTTTTTAGCAAGAACCAGTTAGTTCCCAGAGCTGTGTGTGTACCTACAGTGTTTGAGAACTGTGTGGCAGATATTGAAGTGGATGGAAAGAAAGGGGAGTTGGCTTTGTGGAACTCAGCTGGACAGAAAAATTATGATTTCTTGAGACCCCTCTCCTACCCAGACACTGATGTTATGCTGAAGTGTTTCTCCATTGACAGCCCTGATAGTTTATAAAACATCCCAGAAAAATGGACTCTGGAAGTCAAGCATTTCTGTCCCAACCTGCCCATCATCCTTGATGGGAACAAGAAGGATCTCTGAAATGATGAGCACATAAGGTGGGAACTAGCCAGATGAAGCAGGAGCCAGTAAAACTGGAAGGAGGCAGAGACATGGCAAACAAGATTGGCACTTTTAATAACAGGGAATGTTCAGCAAAGACCAAAGATGGAGTGAAGGAAGTTTTTGAAATGGCCATGAGAGCTGTTCTGCAAGCCAGTTGTGGGAAGAAAAAATCTGGATTAACTGCTGCAAGTGGTTAATTTTGAAGTGCTATTTCTTAATCTTAGTGTATGATTACCGACCCTTTTCACTAATGTATAATTTAATCAGAAATCATCTTGCTACCAGTATTTAGAAGCCAACCATGATTATTGATAATGTCCAACCCACCTGATCTGCCAGGCTCATTATGACACCCCTCTAACAGCCCTCCTCTACACTCGCACCTAACACACAGGTGCTAATTCAGGGAATTTCTTCTTGCTTCTTTCTACAAACAGAAACAGCAACATCTTTAAATTAGGCTGTACCTACTTCATAACTAACGTGTCTTGCCTGTTATCTGTCAGTTGCAAAATACTCTGGTGTGTCACCACTTCCGAACTTTTCTCCTGACAGATTTCATTGGCATGGCTCTGGAGTGGGCATCCAGTTTTTTTCAAAATGTGCTCAGCCAGAAGGGCCCAAGTTCATGCAGCTGTGGCAGTTCTGTAGTTTCATGTTAGTTACCTTACAGTTTCTGTGAAATTAGTGCCACTTATTGTATGTTACCAAAAAAATAAATAAATATACCCCAGATTAGATGTAGTATTTTTTGTATATTTGGATTTCCTAATACTGATATTTATCATCACCACAGAAAGTGTATTAGTTTTTTTATTTGTTTAATTATAGTTAGTATTGAAAGTATTACAGATGTTTCTCTTTTATCCCCATTGACCCCTTCATTCCCACTTCCACCCCCCCCAAAGAAAGTATATTTGAAAATAAAGTCAAATGGAAAATTAAAAAAAAACAAAAACACCTTTACTTGTTTGCCAGGGACTTGTACTGAAATCAATAGGTATATGTAGCCACCTAAATTTTGTTTGACACACTGTTACTTTTTTACTCTACTGATTTCTTCTGTGTGGGGCAAATTCAGACTCTTAACACTGGGTTTTAAATAAAATTACTTTTTAATGCTTTCTATAACAAGTATTTCATGCTGGTATTTTCATGTACTGACTTCTTCTTAGAAGGGTAAATTAAAAAGCAAAGGGAAGGGCAAGGAAACAGGAGTAAAAGGGAAGGATGATAGAAGAAAAAAAGGAAGAAGAAAACTTGGATTTTTTTTACTATTCTTCTGTAAAGAATATGATGACTTTCGACTTTAAATATTTCATTATTTCTGAAAAAGATTTTAGTATAATCATTCTCAAAGAACCTTCAGACTTATTTTAATCATTCATATCAACTCTGAAAAAGCAGGCTGTAGGAAGGAAAAATCATACTTTTTCTTACTTGTGAGTTTTCTATAAAAATGTGGGCACCCTTTCTAGAGATAATATCATGCATGGTGGTCATTCATTTTTTTTTAATTGTTGACAGTATTACAGAAGTCCCCCTCCACCCAACTCCTGCCCTACCCCAGGCCTTCCCCACACTATTTTCTGTGCCCATGGTTTACACATGTATTTTCCTTGCTTAATCTCTTCCCATCCCCTTCATCCCCCTCACCTCTAATATTTGTCATTCTGTTTCATGTATCCATGCCTCTGGACCTGTTTTTTCACTTTATTTTGTTCATTAGATTTCACATATAAGTGAGAACATGTGATATTTGTCTTTCTCTGACTGGCTTATTTCGCTTAGCATAGTAATTTCTAGGTCCATCCATGCTGTCACAAAGGGTAAGAGATTCTTCTTTTTTACAGCCACATAGTATTTCATTATGTAAATGTACCACAGTTTTTTTATCCACTCATCTACTGATGGGTACTTGGGCAGTTTCCAAATCTTAGCTATTGTAAAGAATGCTGCTCTGAACATAGAGGTGCATATATAATTTCTGATGGCTGTTTCAGGATTCTTAGAAAATTTTTCTATTCATTCAGGTCCTTTGCCCTTTGATTTTGGTTAATACTCACCCAAAGATATTTTTTGCATTGGTTTTTAGAGAGTGTGTCAGGGAAGTAGGGAGGGAGGAAAAGAGGGAGGGAGGGAAACATCAATGTGAGAGAGACACATCGACTGGTTGCCTCCCGCATGACCCTGACCAGGGCTGAGGGTTAAACCTGCAACTGAGGTATGTGCCCTTGATGGGGAATAGAACCTATGACCCTTCAGTGCACAGGCCAATACTCTAACCACCTAGCCACACTGGCTACAGTTTTTGCCCATTTTTAATTTGATTGTTAGTCTTGCTGGTGCTGTATGAGTTTTTTATATATTTCAGAAATTATCCCCTTATCAGATGTATCATTGACTAATCCATACAGTGGATTCTTTTTTAAATTTTTTGGTGTTTTTTTTTTTATTTTTTTATTTTTTTTATCCTCACCTGAGGACATTTTTCCATTTTTTGTACAGATAGAGTGGGAGGGAGAGAGAGGAAGAGAGAGAGAGAAACATCGACGTGAAAGGAACACATTGAGTGGCTGCCACCCGCACGACCAACCAGGGCTGGGGACAAACTGCAACCGAGGCACGCGCCCTTAGCGGGAACTGAACCCGGTCTCTCCGGACCACAGGCTGATGCTCTAACCGCTGAGCCAAACCGGCCAGGGCAAGGTGTTTTTTTTTTTGCTGTGCAGAAGGTTTTTTAGTTAGCTGTAGTCCCATTTGTTTATTTTTTCCTTTGCTTCCCTTGCCCTGGGAGAGGTATTGGTGAAAATATGGCTATGTGAGATGTCTGAGATTTTACTGCCTATGTTTTCTTCTAAGATTTTTATGGTTTCACTACTTACATTTAAGACTTTTGTCCATTTTAAATTTATCATTGTGTATGATGTACATTGGTGATCTCATTGCTTTCTTTTTTTTTTTTTTTGCATGTACCTGTCCAATTTTCCAACACCATTTATTGAAGAGACTATCTTTACTCCATTGTATGCTCTTGCCTCCTTTGTCAAATATTAATTGACCATTTGGGCATGGGTCGATTTCTGGGTTCTCTGTTCTGTTCCATTGGTCTATGTGCCTGTTCTTGTGCCAGTACCAGACTGTTTTGATTACAGTGGCCTTGTAGTATAGTTTGATATTCGATATTGTGATCCCTCCAACTTTCTTCTTCTTTCTCAAGATTGCTGAGGCTATTTTGGGTCTTTTTGGTTCCACATAGATTTTTGAACTGTTTGTTCTAGATCTGTGAAATATGACATTAGTATTTTAGTAGGGATTATGTTGAATCTGTAGATTGCTTTTGGTAGTATGGATGGTTTGATATTGTTAATTCTTCTAATCCATGAGCACAGTATATGCTTCCATTTGTTTGTATCTTCCTCTTTTTCCTTTTTCAGTGTCCTGTAGTTTTTTGCATAGAGGTCTTTTACCTCGTTGGCTAAGTTTATTTACAGGTATCTTATTTTGTTGTTGTTGTTGTAATGGTAAGTGGGATGGTTTTTGTTCAGTTTCTCTTTCTGGGAGTTCATTATTGGTGTATAAAAATGCCATTCATTTCTGGATGTTAGTTTTGTATTCTGCTACTTAGCCAAATTCATTTTACTAAATCTAGTAGTTTTTTGAAGGACTCTTTAGGGTTTTCTGTGTA